TTTTGTGGAAAAAGTAAAGGCATTCTATTGAAATATAAGTTTAGTCAGCAATAGACCTATTTACCTTCAGACCACCTGACATTCCTCTAAGGATTGTTCATTTATGATGAATATTTTAAAATATTTACATAATTTATGAAAAAATCAGCTCCAGAAATGGTATTACATGGCTTGTAACAAGACAACAAAAATGAAGGTAAAGAGGTCTACAGCATTTTATTGAGCATAATATATAATGTTTTTCAAACTACCTTCTTGGATGTTTCTTGTCTTCCTCAGAAAGTAAAAACCAGACAAATTCAGGGTAGGTCATTTTGCCGTCAAGACATGTTTTCCCCCTGCAAAGGAACGTCAATTGGAATTATTGTGTTGGATAGTGTCTTACAGTGTACACATGTGCAGTTGTTACAAAATATACACTCCTCCACATGAAGAGGGCAATATCTTTTTCAAGGGTTATTCTTACTTTACTTTACAATAATAACAAGATGTCATCGAAACATTGTAACTTTTCMTCACTAGTTTTTATTATAAATTTTATTCTTAGAATGGTCCAAAATAAAAATCAATATCTTACCTAGTTACTGTGCCTGAAAACAGTCTTTTTACCATGCGGGATGAAATGGCTGAATCATTTGAACAAAAGGAAAAATGAGTAAAAATGGGAAAAATTCTGGCAGTTTTTAAAAAACAGATGGTCCAATCAATATCAAAGTACATATTTAAACCAAATTTCATTTCTCTGTATATCATTACCATGGTTATTGTGCTTTGCTAGATCCTTTTCGTCAATTAGTAAGTCATGGTCTGCATCAAGTTCCCAGAATTTACAATAGATAACGTAAAAATCTCATATGAAAAATAGTCTACAATCTGTTGAAAGAAGGATAGGACATATCAAAAGGGGCAAATCAAAAGTCATGTCGTCATGCTGAAAGTCCCAGCTTTTTTCTTCCAACTCTGCAGACCCTCTGATCACACATTAATAATTCCTATAATGCTAGTTCCTTTCTTTAGTAACCACAACTGATTCTAGGAATAGGGATTTCTGACTAATTTGTCAATCAAGCATCAATCTGGGTCTGGGTCACAGAAATATGAATTATGCTACTAGGTGAGTTCTTTAATACCTCATTTATGTCTTCCTCGTCTTCCAAAGATGCTAAAACCTATGAAATAAGTGGAGAGTTCAAATGATATGGCACTACTGTATGTGGATGAAATCCATATGGAAGGAAAAATCTTCAATTTCTTTTTAAGTTTTCATTGGACATAGAAATAATTTCTAGTAAAAATTAGTAGACACACCTCTAAAAAGTTACTGCGTCGAAGTTCTGAAATTGTAATTCTTCCAGTCCATGAGCTATTTACATTGTAGAATATTCTTGCTATAACCTTTGAAGGAGACAAGAAGTTCAAAAGATTAACTGACTCGGAATAACCAGACTAGTGTTAATACAATTACATATCATACTTACAGTGTGTACATATCTGGAGTGAAACTCTGGAGCATCTTGTAAAAACGTGAGACCAAGGTGAGTATTTACAATATCCTTTAAAAAAAGAAAAATGGGAAAAATGAGAAAGGGATTACGAAAAATAAATTGAAAAAAAGAAGATAATGTAAATGGGTATGAAAGAGAAATGAGAAGTTAAAATTTAATTAAAATCCAAACCTCTTGATGTGGACAACTATAGAAAGTGTCCCTAGTAAAAGGGTGCCACTCAAAACTGTGACCACCGACAATGTACTGTATTTGCATACTTTTGTCTCAATTAGCATTTATATCGCAGATAAAATGAGGCAATCTTGCAATACTGATTGCATAATGGCAAAGATGATGGTAAATAAATTTATTTGTGGTCATACTTTTGGGTGCTGCGTTGAAAAGAAAATACAAGAATTGTTATGCCATTTTTAAGCAAAATAATAGAAAATGGTTGGAACCCAAATGTGAACACAAGACTAGTCATGATCAGTCACTAGTCAGTCCAGAACAATAGCTATTCAAATTGATCATCATATTTCGATTCGGTGTAATGAAGCAGCTAGGATTGATTGTAACATTATATAACCTGCCAGTAAGTAATTGTAAAAATCACCTGAATAAGAGGTACGAAGTCTTCAGATTCTAGATAAGGTTTAGAAGGCTTGGGAGACATTAAAAATACAAACTTTGAAGCATCATCAAAACAAGTGGATGTCAACCTGGAAGTCAACATGAAAATTCAATAAACTTGCATTCAAAAAAAATATTTTGAATCAAAATTTTTAAAAATCTTTTTACATGACTCGAAATCCATTAATAATAATAATAAATACTTTATTCATCGAGGGTGGCACGTAATAGTATAAAAATACTAACAAACCAGTGGCCCTCAAAATCTATTCATTAATTACAATATACTAACATTCCATTAACAATGGAGACAAAACCAACTGGGGTATAGGAAAGAAAAGGTAGCGTGCAGTGCTCAGGAGTGGATCTAGGAGGGGTTTTGCRGTTCAATCAAACCCCCTAAAATAAAATCAAACCCTGTAAAAAACAACTACCAATCTCTTATTCTTTTTCATGTTCAGTTTGAACCCCATAGTTACAATCCTGGATCTACTCCTGCAAGGGCGGATCCAGCCAAAATTTTAGGGGGAGGGGGGGCTAATTGAGTTTAGGAGGGGGGCTAATTAAGTTTCTTCCGTCAACACAACGGAAAACAATAAAGAAAGCATCTAATTCTTCAGCTTTTTCCCCCTGCTGAAGTGGGGCCTCAGCCCCCCTTTGTACCCCCCCCCCTGATCCACCCTTGTCCTGCTGCATATACTAAAGTGTAAACCTCTGAGTGACAACTGAAGTTGTAGGTTCAATTTTGGGTTTGAGACATAATTTGGCCACTAAGGCCTAATAGATCAAATCTACCACAGTCTGAGTTTATAAATATTTGATAAATAGAAACTAAAAGCCTAAATGCCAGAGGAAGTAGCAGTTGCAAAAAGTTTAACAGCATAATGAATAGACATTAAATCTTGCTTGAAGAAACGAGTCCCTGATGAGGATCACACCCAAAACCTTCCAGATACTGCTTCATACTGCACCACTAAGAATAACAGTTAGACAAGGAGACTAT